TGCTCTCCTTCACAATTGTCACCTTTTGTCATGTTGGAAGGCAACAATACCAAAAAGAAAAGGGTCGGGTCACAGCATTGCCCTTTACCCGTGGCAAGTAAGTGACCATGAATTTCTAACACCTGATTAGACCTATGGACTCTTAATTTATGCCCCAGACCTACATTGATCAACTCATTAGGTAAGAACCAATATCCAAACCATTTGCAACATAGTTCTGAGTGCAAGTTCCTTGTTTTAATGATTCTAACCAACATCATTTGGGGAGACAATTCTCTTCTGCTCTATTCAGTCTCAGCTGAAAGTACAAGATAAGCAATATATTTATATTTTATCCGATCTTTGCATGAGGAGCCAGGGCTTCAGCTAAGAACAATTATGTCTGTAACTAAGAATGATATAAGTAGTGGATTTACCTTTTTCTTACATTCACCTGGGTGTTTTATTGTGATGTTCTTTCCACTTTCCCTGGGGGAGAAATGTGATAAATGAATGCATTTTAAAAGTATAAAATAGGTTTGCAATGGGGGTTTTCACCTTATCATTTGTTGGACAGACTGAACATCCAGCTTCTGATGCATTGTTTTAAATCTTTAAAATAAGGTTGGATTTATGAGCAGTAAAAGATACCCCAATAAATCCTTTTGGTGATATACCCAGTTTTTGACAGTACAGAAAATATACTTGTTGCAATCTGCCAGGGGGGAAATGGAATATGATAGGCCACAATTTGCTTGAGATTTTCTTTCTCTCTCTCTCTCTCTCTTTAAACGCAATGTTAGGTCATATGCCCACCTTTTGGTAACACAAAATGCACACTCATTTGGGTATGTCACTCCATCGCTGCCACAGAGTGGAGCAAGCTCATATGTGCAAGGGGTAGGCTTTCCATCAGATGGCTCTGGGTATTTACTGCATTCATCCTGAAAAGAAAAGTATAGAATGGTTCCTAAAATGACCACCCATCAACCTGGGGAAAAAAAGTCATGTTGAGAGTGAAAAAAATGCATTTCAAAAACCTACATATTAAACTAAATTCAAGAGGTATCCATTGTGTTATGTGAGTACCTCCCAATTCAAATTCCAAGAAAGCAAAGGGAAAAAGAAAAATAGCTATTTCCTCCCTAGACAATTGCATGAGTTTTTTCCCCAGAAATTTATAACATCTCTATACCCTTTTGTAGGTGCTGGACACTAACAAATGTCAAAATGGATGATGGAGATGTTTCAGGAACTCTTTGAATCTATATTCCTAGAAAATCTCCCAAGCTGCCAGAATAGCTATTTCCTCCCTAGAGAATTGCATGAGGTTTAGTTTTTTTTTCCAAATTTATAACATCTCTATACCCTTTTTTAGGTGCTGGACACTAACAAATGTGAAAATGGATGATGGAGATGTTTCAGGAACTCTTCCTAGAAAATCTCCCAAGCTGCCACATGAGCCATCCTAACATACCAGTCTCGTTTGGTTTCACAAGCTAAGCAGGACTGGACCTTACTGCTACTCAGGGAGGAGACCAGCAGGAAATACTAGGGATCTCTTGGAAGAACTGGGAGAGAATCCTGCCTCAACCTTAGAGACCCATTGCTGCCAGTCCAAGTTGACAATTGGCCTTCACAGACCTATCATCAGACTCAGGAGAAGACTGCTTTAGAGACCCATTACTGCCAGTCCAAGTTGACAACTGGCCTTCACAGACCTATCATCAGACTCATGATAAGACAGCATCTTGTGTTCCTAAGTATACAGGAACTGCTACGTTAATTTTGCAATGGCCCTTCCTTATGTATGAATTGTGAGTTGTTTGATAGCCTTGTAGAGTCTTGTATGCTATTAACTTAAATGGAAAGGCCCTTGTGTTCCTGAGTACTGTATACAGGAACTGCTATCTTAATTTTGCAGTCGGCCTTCCTTACATACGAATTGTGAGTTGTTTGATAGCCTTGTAGAGTCTTGTATGCTATTAACTTAAATGGAAAGGCCTACTTGACTTCAATAAATATAAAAATTAGCCTTCTGAGATTTGGCAGGTTTACTTTCTTCTTTCCATGATCTATTATGTCTCCAAATTTCTTGGACATCAGTATAATACCAAATACCGTATTTTTCGCTCCATAAGACGCACCTTTCCATAAGACGCACCAATTTTTAAGGAGAAGAAAACAGGAAAATATAATCTGTTTTCTTTGCTCCATAAGACTCACAGACTTTCCACACGATACCAAATAAGTTAAAGCCATTTTGGTTTTCTCATGCAAGTCAATGAGAGGCTTATGAATTGATTCAGCCTCTGGGACACAAATCACTCTGGACTGAATTTGTTCACATTCCACAGCCTCAAATTGGATTTCAGATCAGCCCAAATTAATTATCATAGCAAGACATGCCTCAATTTGCTACAGAACACACAGAACTAATTGTGAATATATGAAGGCCCAACTCAGCAATCCCAGCACATACTTGGCTAATTAAACAGATTGAATTTGTGAGAACTGCATGATAGCATTTTAAGCTGAGAACAT